CCCCTTGCCCAGGTCACCCCACCCATGTCTTCCCTAGGTTCCCCCCAGGCGACCCCTCTGAGTTCTCCCCTAGGTTTGCCCCAGGTTCTCCCCAAAAGTGCCCCCTACAGGTTTCTCCCCAGAGCTGCTGCAGGCTGAGAGGTGAGCAGCAACGCTGGGCCCAGAGGGAAAAGGTGCTTCCCACGGAGTGAACGGAAGCTGCAAAGGCCCTGAGGCAGGGATCAGGGCATAAGGGAGAGAAGGAGGAGGCTCAGAAGCTGGCTAAGCTTTGCGGGGGCCCTCGGGGCCTCGGAGGGACTCAGGTTCTCTTTTGGAATTCCCTGGGGGGCCAATGGAGATTTTAGAGTAAGGAAGGGATGAGGAAGGAGTCACATTTTACCCTGGCCCTCCGGTTACGGGAAGGGCAGGGATGTGGGGGGGCAGGCAAGGAGATGGGAAGTCTGGGTTGAGGTTGAGCGCAGCGCGTACACACGCCAGGCAGGCCTGAGTTAGGTAGGGCGCACGTGGGAGAGGCAAGGCCAGGTCTGCCCTCCTGCCCAGGCCCTCGGGCCCAGGGGGGCAGCTGGGTGGCCAGGAAGGGGTCCAGGCCCAGGAAGGGGTTTAGGGCAGCAGCCACGGCCCTGCTGGCCCCTCTGAAGCAGTAATTAAGGGCTGCGGCGTCCCTGCGGCGTGATGTATGTGCGCCTTAACTAATCATTTATTAGGGCACTGATGGTTCGTCAATATTAATTCATTTATTTAAACAACTCGGCTCTGTAATGAAGATGTTGCCTGAGAGGGGAGGCCGGCAGGTGGCGGGGCTGGGAATCAGAGAGGGGGTTCAGGCCCGGGTCTTGGGTCTCCAGGGTTTGGGTAAAATGTCCCCACAGGTCAGGGTTAAGCCAGCACCTTGCTGGGCCGATGGGGAAATCGAGGCCAGAGCAGGAGGTGCCCTGCCTGAAGGACTCACAGCCATCAGGGAGGGTGGGAAGAACCCGGACTGACCACTCTGGACGCTCCGCTGCTGCTCACAGGACCCCCTTCCTGCTGTCCTGCTCCTGGAGGCCAAGGTCCAGGTGGGAAGGCCACCAGCTAAAGTGCCAGAGGTTGGCTTTCTCTTTCCAGGGCCGTGCCCCCTGCCTGGTGCCCCTTTCCCACTCTCCCAGCCAGCCTGGTAGATTGGTGCACGCTGACATTTAAGAACAAAAATCAGATCATACCTCTCCTCTGCTCAAGAACTATTCATGGCTCCCCAGTGCCCTGCAGGGAAAATCCAGATTCATCTGTCTCCACTGACGTCTATGATCACCTCAATTTAAGGGGCCCCCATCACACTCCTGCCATCTGTGACCCTGTTATTTCCTCACCTGTGACCCTGGGTGGGGAAAGTGCTCAGCAACACCCCCCCCCCCCCACCGCAGCAGACACACTGGGCTCCGGGTATCAGCCCATGGCGCCTTCGCTTCAGCACAGCTGCAGCCACTCATTCCCACGAGCCCAGGTGCCTCTTCTGAGTTTCCGCTTCTGGAGGCCCGGGACATGAGGGGCCAGTATCCCTCTCTGACCTGGTGGGTAAATGCCCGTCCTTTCCCTGTGGCAGGGACCCCTCTGAGGCTTGTCCTTCGGGATCTCTAAAAATTCCTGACATAGGGCCCAGCACGTGTAAAGGCTTGGAGGTTTGGAAGGGCAACCTTTGAAGTTCCACCCAGCTGTGGAGAGCACAGGAGAGGCTGTGCTCCAGCGGGGGAAGGGGTGGGGGACGCTGGGGAGCCGCAGGGTGCCTCAGGCAGGGAAGGAACATGCCTGCTTTGCCCTCCAGATTTACAGCTCTCCTCTGGGTTAGAAGAGATCCACTGGGTATCTGTGACGTGGCAAGCCCTAACTGAGCACCTACTGCATACCAGCCTTTGTTCTCTCTCCCGGAGGTGACATGGTGTTGAGCCTGGAACCGGCATTCAGTTCAGGGAGCCGTCGAAGCTCACGGGAGCCAGACTAGTGGCCAGGCAGTTTGTGGCTGGGCTGACCTGACACTGGCTGGTCCACAAGGAAAGCATCCACCCATCTGGGGTCTCCTTGCTGCCCGTGGAACCTTCCAGCCACTCTGACAGTGTGGGAGGCAGGCAGCCAGGGCATTAAAGTTAACTTCCTCTTAAACAGACTTAATTAGTGTTCTTCAGTCCCACATAAATTAATCGTGGCCGGCCACGGAGGCTGGGATGCCCGATCGATGGGAGCTGGAGGACTGCAAGGAATTCTCTGGCTCATCCATCATGTTGCTCTGGCTGATAAAGGCTCACGGCTTTATCTTCTCCAACCAGACACTGGTGGCCTCGGGGGGTCTGGGCAGGTGGCAGCCCCACTCTCAGCCCCAGTTTCCACATCTGTGAAATGGGGGGATGTCCAGATGAGGTGAGGTGGCCATGAGCCTGGAGAGGAAGAAGGACCAGCCTGGTACTAAGTATCACCTCATTTAATCCTGGCAAGGGGCCTGCAAGGCCTCCATGTGGTCCCTAGTTCTTTTCCAGATGTGTCAGCTGAAGATGGCAGAGGTTGAGGGAACCAGGGCATAGAGCCCCGAAGCTTAGTCTAACCATGTTTCTGGGTACCTCTGGCTCCAAGGGCTGGGATTTTGTAGACGGTCACCTGTCATTGGATTGTGCACATGCTATACCAAGGGAGGGGCAGGAGGGGCCAAGAACCTCCCAGAAGGCCCTGCACCTTAAACTCTGTGGGGAAGAGGACACCCTAAGTCTTCAGGAGTTAGAGAGCTTGAATAGAGTTGGAGAGTCCCAGGAGGCAGAGGGTGCAGGCAGCCCCAGGAAGGGCTTCTTGGCGGTGAGGAGGTCGGGGATGTTGGGCTGAGACCAGGAGGAGGAAGAGCTGAGGGGCAGGGAGACTGAGGGTAAATTGACGCCACTGTGAAGGTGTGGAGTGTGGGAAGGTACAGAGGGTCTCAGAAAGGCCCCCAAACCCAGAGCTATCCTGCAGTTGTGGGGAAAGGTAATGATGAAACCTCTGGTGAAGGGCAGAATCTGGCAGGGGGTGCGGCGTGAAGGGACGTGGCTTTCAGGGGGTCGGCGAACACTCTGAAATCCCTGGAGGCTTTGTCCACGAGGGGCCTGGCTTTCCTTCAGGGGCATGACTTAGGCCAAGGTTGGGGGCCCCTGTTTGAAGACTAGGGCACAAGGAGCAAATGGCCCTCAACTCGGGGAATCGTTGGATAAAACTGGGACCGGCGAGGCCTCTGTTTCTAGGGCTTGGAGGCTGGTGCAGATGAAGGTGAACGAGATGCTCCTGGCCTCAGGGTCAGAGCTGGGTCTGAGGGCAGGACCCAGGGCTCGAGGAGCAGCCTGCAGGGCCGTCGGAGGGTCTGCTTGGAGGACCAGGAGGGATCCCCAAAGAGGGGGTTGAAGAAGGCGCAGGAGCTGGCTGGGTGAGAGAAGACAGAGAACTGCGTGTGCAAAGGCCCTGAAGCAGGAACCCTGTGAGGTTTGTTCTCTGTAGGCAGAGTGAGGGTGGGAGAGCCTCAAAGACCAGGTGAAAAGTTTGGGTTTTCCTGAGAAGGAAGAGAGCCATGGGGGCTTCCAGTGTGGGGGTGGGGGCGGCAATGCAGTTTTCCTGTGGCAAAGTCCCTTCCGGTGCCGCATGGTGGACAGACAGTCTGAGGCAGGAGGGAAGGAAGGAGGAGGTGGGGGGACCAAGGTCTAGGCAGAAAACAGGGGTGCCCTGGACCGTGGAAATGCAGAGGTGGGGAGAAGGGGCCAGATTAAAGATGATTTTATTTTTTATTTTTATATTTATTTAAGAGAGAGGGGGAGGGAGGGAGACAGAGAGGGAGAGAAACATCGATGTGAGACAGAAACATCAATCAGTTGCCTCTCGCGAGAGTCCCTACAGGGGGGCACTGAGCTCACAACCCGGGCACATACCCTGACTGGGAATCGAACTGGTAGCCTTTTGCTTTTCGGATGACTCCCAACCAACTGAGCCACACCACTCAGGGAAAGATTAGAGATGATTTTAAAACGGGGGGCGGGGGCATTGGGAGAACTGAGGAGACCTCTGTTGGACTGGGGGGAGGCACAGATGGCAGTCTGTCCCTATCTCCACCACTCCCCACCTTGTGATGTTCTTTGCCCGCCAAGCCTCTTTGATCACGGTGGCTTGGGCCTCCTGGAATTCTTATTCATCAACATATTTCGAGCCCAGCCACGGAGGTGGGATCCCAGCTCTACACTCTGCCCACTGTGTCTGGCGGCTTCAGGGAGCTTGGCCAGGCCTGAGAACAAGCTGGTCCTGGCCCAGCACTGAACAGCAGCCCAGGCCGGGCAGCTCACCCAACAGGCCTCAGTGCACCTCTCCGCGTGGTGGGCTTCATGCAGACCACGCCAGAAGAAGGGTTGCTAGCAGGCAGCTGGGTGGGGATTTGCCCTTGGGGACGCGGGGGCTGGGGCAGGGTAGGTGCACACACGTTCCCAGTCCCAGAGACCAGGCAGGGCACAGGGGTCTCCCTGTTAGGGCCTCAGTTGCCCTGCCTGGGTCTGCTTGGCTGCCCAGCAAAAAGCAACAATAATGATGGTGATACCTTTCCATGGTGGCCGAGAGGGGCCTCCCAGGCACCCCTGTTACTCGGACCAACTGACCATTCCCTCTGGGCCCGACAGGCAGAAGGCTGGCGGTTTGAGAAAAATGTTTTCTTTGAAAAAGTGGTGTTTGGGGTGCAGCTGAGTAGGATCCTCTGCCCTGCAACCGCCATCCCGTCCCCACAGACCTGTGGTCACGAAGCTGGGCCCCCGACATTCTTTGGGCTTCAGTTTCCCGTCAGATGGGGGTGATTTGTGACACAAGGCACAGTTCTGAAGCATCGGGCCCTGAAATGGGTGCCGGGGATGAGATTTCTGTGGGTGAAGTGAGTTATGTTCTGTTTCCGCCCCTTAGAACCTCGCCTCCTAAAGAGAAGGCTGCCCCACCCTGAGCCCACAACTCCCCCCCCCACCCCCGCACCGCCACCCAGCCCCTGTGTCCTGCGTGTGTCTCCAGAGCCCAAATGTGGAAGGAAGGAAGGGACGGAGGAGGAAGGGTTGCACCTTCTCTTTAGGGGACCAGGCGCCTCTCTAAACTCACTCACGTGACTGGCCTATGGTGTCTTCATACCTTACACCTACCTCGGTTTCCCCAACTCTGAAATGGATACCATGGACTGGCATGGCCCTGTCTGAGCCAGCACCAGACCCTCACCTCCTCTGAGGGGGCCGCCTGCCCAGCCCGGCCCCCCTCTCTGTGCTGGCTTCCACTCCCTGAGAGCACTCACACTCTCCACGGGGCCTGCGGGTAAGGGTTTGATGTGTGTCGGGCTGGGGCCCAGGGACGGGTCTGGGGGAGGCAGGAGGCAGTTCTGAGAAGAGGTGGAGACAGTTCTCAGAAACCCCGAGACCCTGAGGGATGCCTTTCCCTTCTCAGAAACGCTGCCTCGCTGACTGGGGCAGACACCTGAACGAGAAGTGTGGGCAGCTGCACGCAGCAGGCTGGGGCCGGTAGCAGGTGCCCAGGACTAAGCTGCCCTGAATTCTCCCCTCACCAGCAGGCAGCCCCTGTCCCAGGCCCGTGTCTCTCACCTCCTGCCAGACCCCATGGGTCCCCATTCTTTCCCCCAAAGCCCAGGGATGCGCCCCACCCCCTCCCAGTGTCCCTCATGGTTCTGAGCTAAGGGCTTTTCTAACACCTGCCCCTCATCATCTTCTCTTTCTCTGGGTAACCCCCTCGCCCCACCTTTGGGATGACAGCCCACAAATCCAGGATTCACACTGACTCAGCTCAAAATTGGGGACTGCTTTGGCTGTGCCCCATCTGCCGTTCAGGCAAGGTCCCCTCCCCACACTGGGGCGGGGTTGATACCAGGACCCCAACCCTGTCCTCACCAGTGGTCCTCCAGCGGCCTGGGCCCACAGGTCATGTGGATGCAAGCGGCACCTTCACAGTGGGATGTCTGTGGGTCCCCTCCTCCAGGGAAGGGACTCAGCCTCGGCCCCCCCAGGTGTCTTGGTTGGCAGCCCTGGGGTGGCAGGGCCACCTTCCCAGGCTGGGAAATGTCACATCACACTCCAGGCTACTTCTTTCTTACAGCTGGATCTTCCTCCGGGAAGCAAGCCCTTACTTATCACAGACTCTTCCAGGGTCCACAGAATAAGGTAGGTCTCTGGGCAATAATGGGGGGTTGAGACACATGGGGAGCCCCTGCCTCAGGACTGGCATGGGAGAGCTGAAAAGAAAGGACTTCACCTTGCCCCCCTGTGCCAGGAGCAGACCCCTCTGCGGTCTGAAAATCCAGGTGGTCCCTCCAGAAGGAGCCCAAGCTTGGCAGATTCAGTGCAGGTGGGAGAGGGAATTCAGTTACAGGAAGGTCCACGACCTGGCCACTAGGTGCCCCCGTGTTTAGGGTATCACTGTGTCTCACTGGTGATGTTCTTCGTGAGGGAACCCTGCGTCATCAGTGCTCTGCCACCTTCTCCCAGCCTCCCACAGCACCCCTGCAAGGGGTTGTGTGTCTCTAATTTCCAGGCACGGCAGCACCGCCCCCTCAGAAATCACTAATAGGTCGCCCACTGTAGCTTGAAGCTTCCCAGTCTCCGATTTCTGCAGTAAATATCAGGTTTCACACCCATTAGAATGGCTTTAAAAATGCTCTGTCTAAACAACAGAACATAGCACGTATTAGCAAGGAGGTGGAGAAGCTGGACTCCCGCCTGTCACTGGTGGGACTCCACACGGAGTAGCTGCCATGCAGGGCAACAGCCCGGGGCTTCTTTGAAAGTCAGACGAAGTCGTTGCGCAACCCAGCAGTGTGGGCAGCTGCAGCCTCTGGTGCAACCCTGGGTTTTTTAGAACAGTGAGGTAAAATTGACATAACATAAAGCTAGCTGTGTTAAAGTGAACCATTCAGTGGTCTTTGTACATTCACAACAGTACATGCAACCAGCACCTTTATCTAGTTCCAGAACATTGCACCACCCCCCAAAAATTTTGTCCCCAGCAGCAGTCACCCTCGTCCCCTCCCCGAGCCCCCGACAACCACTTCCTGTGTCTGTGGATGTGCCTGTTCTGGACATTTCACATAAATGGAATCACACACAGTGTGGCCTTCTGTGTCTGGCTTCTCTCACTGAGCACCATGTGTCCAAGGTCCAACCACATTGTAGCAAGTGCCAGAGCTTCACTCCTTTTCATGGCTGAGTAGTATTCCAGCATGTGGAGGGACACACATTTATCTCCTCACCTGGTGATGGACATGTGGGTTGTTCCCACCTTTTGGCTGTTGTGGATCCTCTGGGAACAGGTGTACAAATACCTGTTTAAGCTCTTGTTTTCAATTATTTGGGGTATACACCTGGGAGTAGAATTGTGGGGTCTTAAGGTGATTGGATATTTGGCTTTTTGAGGAAACTCAAGCTGCTTTCCACAGTCACTGCCCCATTACATCTCTGGATTCACCTTCGTGCTCTGGGGAAAAACACTCATCTGAGAAAATGCGGTGTGGAACCAGGAGGGTCCATGAGTGGGGCTCTCGCTGTAGCTCGGTCAGACCATCACTCAGAGCTCCGCCAAGCCCTTCTCAGTTTTACCTCAGTTTCCCTATCTGACAAATGGGTAGATGGGGTCAGACCAGGGTTTCAAAGGGTTAGATTGGAGAAGGCCAATGGTTCAGATAAATGAAACCGGGACCCTCTCCTCCAGGGGGGGTGCAGGTGGGGGGGTATATGCGTTTTCTGTTGGACACCTCCCCACAAATCAGGGCTGAAACCACAAACATTTATTCTCTGACAGCTCCTTTATTCTCAAACTTCCTCACCGTTGCTCTACCTTGGAGCCAGGACACCATTGGTAGGGAACAGTTTAAGCCCCTGGGATTAGATGATCTCCAATCACTCACTTACTGAACAAGCACTTATTGAGCACCTGCTGTGTACCAGGCCTCTGTGGCAGAGCTAGCTTTGTGAACGTTGTGTGTGGCTCCACACACGGGCCCATGCTCCGTGGGCACCTTCTTGAAATTTCTGCCAATTTAATCTCTGAACCTGTGATTTGTGAGCAGAGTCTGATGGGACAATGGAAAACAGTACACGTGTTCCCCTCTATTCCTGGCAGCTCCATTTGTACCCACTGGCTTCCGCAGTGTTAGCAGAACACCTGAGTGACCAGAACTGAAATGAAACCACTTGCTTCGGGGCCGTGCTTCAGCAGGCCTGGCGAGAACGAGATGCACAGGCAGGTGCAGCCTCTGAAACACAAATGGTGCCGTTTTGGTGACTCTGCCCTGTGCATCCCATGCTCTGACACGTACTTATTTGCATTTCATACTGACATTGCAAATAGAAACTGTCACATTCTGCTGCTCATTCAAATTTTCAATTTTTCTTTACATAGAATGACAGGTCAGAGCAAATGGAGAAAACCATGACAAGTGGAGAGAGAGAGACACCGTGAAAGAAGGAAAAAGCTTTACATCTTAGCACCTTGAGTGACAGCTTGTTTCTTGCATCTGGAACAAGCGGCCCTGCACTGTTATCTGCAGTGAGCCCTGCAAAGCGCAGAACCAGCCCTATGTCTGCATCGAATGCTGGAGACGGTGGGAACAGCCAGACAAAAACCTCTACTTTCATGGACCAGGCGTTCTAGTGGGCAGACAGACAAAGAGTGAGTAGTAGACATGCAAGATGACATGAGCTGTGGAGAAAAATTAAGGTAGGGAAACTGGAGAGGTTGGAGGATTTGTGGTTATTTATTTGTCACATGTATCAAATGCCTACTATGTGCTGGAGGAGATTTTAACCTCATTTCAAGTTGTTTGAGTAAAAGGGGGCTAAACAATCTCATGGAAGGACTTTCATTGCCCAGTGTGGGTCATGTGCCTATTCCTAGACCAATCACCACAGACATGGGGAGGAGGTACTACATGCTCAGTTGGCTTGGGTAACACATGGATCCTTCCCAGGTTGGGAGGAGACAGGGCTGGACGCATATTTCTAGGCCCAGATGTTTAGGGCTGGGATGAAGGATGAGGTGAAGTTATGGGCAAAGGCTATGCTTCAGACTTAAATGAGAATTCACAGAGGATTCGCATTGGAGCTGGGGTTTTGAGGGGTGAGTAGGAGTTTGCCTGGTGATAAAGACAAAGAGAAGAAGACATAGCATCAGTGAGAGAGCATGGCTCTCAGAGGGGGCAGTTATGGAGGCCAAATCCTGAAGAGCCTTCCACGCCAGGCCAGGAGAGTGGGATCTTCATCCCAATGCAAAAACAGGAATAGGAAGTGTTTCCAGCAGGGGAGGTGTGTACCAGGTCTGTGAGTGAGGAAGAACATCCTAAGGTGTATTGCGGGTGGTTTACATGAAGAGTTAGCAAACTATGACCTAAAAGCCAAATGTGGCCCTTGGCCTGCTTTTATAAATAAAGTTTTATTGGCACACACTCATTTCTGTATCATCTACAATGCTTTCACCACAAGGGTAGAGCTGGGCAGTCCTGAGATCATCTGGCCCCCAATCCTGAAACTATTTATGCTCTGGCCCTTTGCAGTCTAGTCTAAAGGAATGAGAACAGAGTGGGTAGGAGACCCAAGAGGAGGCAAGGCCATGGGCACGCTGCAGGGGGGTCCTGTTCCAGAGGAAGGTGGTTCCAGGGGTACTCAGGAGGCAAGATGGAGGATGTTGGAAGGCCTGAATGTGGGCTCAGGGGAAGGAGAGGGGCAGCGTTTTTAGCTGGGGGATGGCTGGATAGTGTGACTGTCACTGATGGAGACACAGGAAGACCCTGAGGCCCAGTTAAAACGACTGAGTTTGGGACCTGGGATAGCAGGGTAGAGGATCTGGGATCCTCTGCGGGTCTTGGCAGGGGTGGGGGCAAGGCTTCCAATGGGCCTGGGGGCCCTTGCTGGCTCTCTTCAGAATGGCCTCGCAGTGTGGGAGCTCACATAGCAACTTTTGGGTACAGCCTAGAACAGTGGTCCCCAACCGTTTTGGCACCAGGAACTGATTTTTTGAAAGACAATTTTTCCATGGACTGGGGCGGGAGGCAGAGGAGACAGGAGGCAGAGCTCGGGCCCGGGAGTGGGGCAGGAGACAGGAAGGGGAGCTCAGGCGGTAATACGATGGTAATGGTGTCCACAGGTAGGGAAGAGGGAGGTTGGGGACCCCTGGTCTAGAAGACCTCACAGCCCAAAAAATCTGAGGGTCCTGCATTGCCAAAAGGCAGACATCAGGTATGGAAGGTCTCCTGGGTGCTGCCTGGCTGATCCAGGGGGAGCTGCAGTCAGGAATGGCCTGAGTTGCTGGAGGATGTTCTGCGCCAGGAACCCTACAAGCCCTGTCTGCAGGGTGTTTGAAGTATGTGGGGCTACTGTAAGTGACCTGTGCTGTGGGGGCAAGGTGGACATGGGGCTTAGGGTCAGCTTGGACAATGCTTCAGATGACTACCAGAGGCAAGAGGGCCTCATCCACTGACAGCGAGGATACTTGAGCCTGCACAAAATGCCCCATCCAGCCTTGACTGTGCCCTGTAAATGCCCCAGGGCAGAGCTGCTGGATTTGTCCCGATGGCCTCTGCTGACCGGGCACCCCAACACCCTGCCTGGGCCCCTGCGGCCTCCCTCCATCAACCTGGGCCCCGCCTGGCGCAGACGCCCGTGTCCAAGCGTGCCCGGAAGGATTGGGCCATGGGGAGGGCCCCTCGATCAATAGCTCTGCCAGCTACCGGGGCAGATGGAAGCCAGGCCTGGGCGGCCACTTGCTATCCCCCATCCCACCCTCCAGGAAGGCGGATAAGACTCAGGGACCCTCTTGAGCGAAGCCTGGCACCCGCCTGCCGCCCAGCACCCCTATCTGCCATGGAAGGGCCCAGTTCCTGAATTGCTCCGACAGGCCACGCAACAGGCCTCCGCCGAGGCCTTTAATAGCCGGGGCCTAATGTTTTATTGTTGGTTTTAAAAGTGTAATTAGTTCAAGTGTAAACAGAAAAAACCTGCTTAATTAAGAATTTTTAAACAGGGGCATAAAGCTGGAGCGGAAACATTGGTGAACCCCTAGAGCCGCTTTCATAAAATCGATCGGAAGAGGCTCCGAGTGGAGGGCCTGGGCGGGGCGGGAGGGGGGCCTGGGGGGGACTTTCAGTGGAGGCTCTCCGCCTGCCAGGGCAGGGGCCCCAGAGACCTGCCGGTTTACGACCAGGGTCTTGGGACCAGTGCCTAATGATTTTTACGCATTAATGGAGTTGAGAGTTGGCCAAGACAGGCTGTTTAAGAAGCCTTTATGGGTGGCTTGGAGCTCAGTCATGTGACCCCAGGGCTGGCTTGGTGGTGAGAACCCCAGTGCCTGGCCAGGGAGGCCCGCTGCTGCCCATTCTCTTTGGGCTGGTGGGCTGGGGGCCCTCTTGGTGTGGGCCACACACACACACATACACACAGGGCACCTCTGGACGGAAGCTTGGCGGTCACCGGGACGCCTCCTGGCCAAGCGTGCCTGTTCCCTGCGAGTGTCAGTGTCCTCCCTCCCTCAGTGTCCAGGACTTAAACTTCCCACTGTATTTAGGCAGTGCCCACCTTCCACCAGGGACACTTCCACCAGTGTCCACAGTGGTACCGGAAGTCTTGGTTCACACCAGGGCCTGGGGTGAGGTCAGCAGGACTTGGCCTCTGGGGAGGAGCTGGTGGGACTGTCACCTACAGGAGGTCAAGGAGGCCCCAGATTGGGGCCCAATCACTCACTGTGTCCCAGAGTTTGGCTGTTCTGAGTGTCACAAGCTTGAGAAGCAGGAGAAAAGTTACAGAGAGCCGAGTGGCTGATGGCACTGTGTCCATGCAGGCTGGAACCTGGGGACTAAGGGTCGGGGGTCTGGGCATAAGCCAGGAGGGGTGTGGAACAAGGGCTCTGGCCCAGTCTCAGCTCCCTTGTCTGTGAAGGGGTCTGTCCATTCCTTATCCCTCCCCGAGGCCCATGGCATTTGTCTGAAAACAAAAATAGAAGGTGCATTTTGAAAGCAGATGCTGGTAGTGAGGGTCCTAATTCCAGCCTTGAAGCCTCTCAGGTGGAGAGGGGTGGGTGGTCTTCTTCACCTTATCCCTTGGGACCCCCACAGGTCCACCCAGCTGTACTCTTGTGGACACAGGGGACAGGAGCTGGCCTGGTCCGTGGTCCTTGCACTCTAGGAGCTGCACGGATTCTGCATCCCACATAACAGGGCACGTTGCCCCACTGGACGTGCGTGGATACCTGGGCTTGCCCAGTGTCTGTAGTGCCCCAGGTGTCAAATTCAGTGTGTCTGGCTCCAAGGCCTGGGCTTGGAACTGCTGAGCCAGCTGAAGATAGCCAGAAGGGTCCAGGGTAGAGGCCCCAGAAGAAGGCTCTCCATTTCCAGAACAAAGAGGCTACCTGCAGGGGTCTGGTGGGGAGTGGGGGCACAGTTCCTGGACTCTTGGTAGAAAGGGCCTCAGCGGACAACTCCCTGGTGATCGGTGAGGCTGAGATGGCCCGGGACAGCCCAGCTGGTCAGGGCAGGGGGACCCCATATCTTGACCTTCTACTACCCCTACCTAAGGGACAGAGGTGTGTCTCCAGTAGCCTGCCTGCCCTCCCTGGAGTTGGGGGTCCCTGGGCTAGACCCCCAGGATGGTGGGTGCTCCCTATGAATCATACAATAAAAATTCCATGAAAGCAGCCAGCATTGAGGCCACTGTTTGGAGCCCTGCCTGCTCCCAGCAGCAACAGTGAAGGCAAATCAGCAGTTGGATAGGCAGCTGGGTGGGGTACTTTTCTCCTCTGATGGGAGGCAAGTGCTCAACAGCGTTGTTGGGAGAGGCCAGGCCGGGTGTACTGGGAGCTGGGTCTCGGCCGGGTGTGCAGATATGGCCGCAGGGCACGTCTGTGGCTGGTGGTCAGGGCTCTGCCTCACTCTGCTGCTCTCGTTTGTGGTCACTGTGTCTGCCTCTCTGCATGTCTCTGTGTTTCTCTCTTTGCCTTTTTGTCACTTTGTATCTGTTCATATTTCTCCTCTTATTAGTCTCTTTTTGTCTGGGTCTGTCTCTCTGTCTCTGCCTGTCTGTCTTTCCCTGTGTCTTTGTCCCTTTCTGTCTGTCTCTCTCTCAGAATCCAGACTAGGACCTGAGACCTCCTCCATGAGACACTTCCCCCAGGAGACCACAGGCCCAGCCCGGAAAAGGAGCCCTCAGCCCAGGTCAGAACTGAGTCAGGGTTACCTCCCTGTGACCCCAGATTCCCTCCCTGGCCCAGGTTGTCTATCCCCTGTCTGTAAAATACTTGTTCAAATTTGAACAAGTTCCCATCATAAAAAAGCCACAAGATTTCCTTAGGAAAATCTGATTTTGGCCACTGGTCTGCTGTGGCCACCCTGGTGTGCATTCCTGATGGAATCTCAACCCCCTGGGCCCGCCAGCCACAGTCTTGTCTTCCTGTGCATAGTCTGTTTAGAGCCACACCATCTGCAAAGTGGGCTCTGTACTACAGATGAGCAAACCCAGCAGCTCCCCTCTTTTCTCCACCCCAGGTTCAAATCCCCCTCCAAGGGGGACCCCGAAGGAGTTCTCAAATCCTTGGAGCCCCAAAGCTCTCATTTGCAAAGTGGGGTTGAGTTTCAGGAAATGTCTCCATTTGCCTGAAATGAGCAGGGCTCCCTTAGCAGACAAGATGCTTGTGAGTATGAGAAATAGGATGCCCTGGCTGGTGTAGCTCAGCGGATTGAGCACGGGCCTGTGAAGTAAAGGATCGCTGGTTTGATCCCCAGTCAGGGCACAAGACTGGGTTGCAGGCCAGATCCCCAGTAGGGGACACATGAGAGGAAACCACACATTGATGTTTCTCTCCACTCTTTCTCCTTCCCTTCCTCTCTCTCTAAAAATAAACAAATAAAATATTTTTTAAAAAGAAAAAAACAGGAAAGGAGAGAATGTGTTGTGTGGCTTGAGGGAGAAAGCCAAAGGGACAGCCACCAGTGGCCCTGTGCTGAGTCCCTCTCCCACTTCCCCTGGGTCGAGCACTCCTCTCCACATAGCTTCAGTTTAGGGGGATGCAACAGCCCCTCTGCTGACTCCCTGTCAGCCCTATGGAGCCCATGCCCTATAGACGTGCCAGCTACTGGGCTCGGGGTATAGAGGTCTGAGTAGACACAGGGGCTCAGTCAAAGACTGAGTTGTGTGACTTAGTTAAGGAGTTGCATTTTGAAAAGATTTTATTTACTTATTTTTAGAGAGAAGAAAGGAGAAAAAGAGGGAGAGAAATATTGGTGTGTGAGGAGAGAGAAACATCCATCAGTTGCCTCTCCTATGCCCCCAACTTGGGACTCAGCCTGCAACCCAGGCAAATGTTCTGACTGGGAATCCAACTGGCAACCTTTTAGTTCACAGG